ATAGACATTAGTAAATACAAGGGCCGGGGTTTTCGGTCGAGCTGATACGACAATATATATATATATATATATATATATGTGTGTGTGTGTGTGTGTGTGTGTGCATATCTCTGCAAGTATGCTTAGTTTTGTAGGTGGCTAGGTGATCATTGAAATTGGCGCTCCGCGACACACACTCACTACAACTGCACTTTTGAATACTGCGAGGTACGTTTGTTCTGTTATTGTCATGGGCAAATGGAAATATAGCACCTCCGAAAGCTATATCCCTATCAAAAGAAAAATACACACTTAATAGCACAATGCATGCCTCATTTGCGACACATGCGAGCTCCCGAGATCATATTTACGTCTAGGAAAATTGGTCAGACACCCAGTTCACAAGCTATTATTTTGGAACAACTCAATTGAGCCGCGTTCAACTACAACAGATCTGGTTTTATTCCGCATACCTCAGCGCGGGCCAGTCCACCTTGCGGATGTTGATGTGCTGCAGTGTGCGCTCCATATCTGTACACTCCTTCATGATGCGCCTCAGCCGGTTGTTGGTATTGGGGAGACCCTTGAGCACAGCCACGCTGGACAGGTACTGATTAATGATCCCGACATCCGTCGAAGGCGACACTATGCGGGCGCGCAGCAAGCGTCTACCGCCGTAAGTCTTGCAGCGGTTGAGAACCGAGTACAGGGTACCGGAACCCACACCGGTGCTGAGGCGGTTAGTATGTTTGGCAAACCTGATGGTGAAATATGCGTCGTTTGTTTTCAGTAAATTTAAAAACTTGGCGACAAATGGTACTATAGAGAGGCCCCGCCTTCAGTTGAGTTGCCTGAGAGGTTCAGCAACCGAGTCGATGCAGTTCTCAAAATAGTGCAAGTGTCAATATACGTGTAAATAACCCCCATAAGATTACCCAGTAAAAAACAAACCAAAACAGATAGCGATGTCTGTAAATACGTACACACTACGGACGACATTGATAATGTTCGTACGGATTTCGGAATTAAAAAAAGTATAAATACAACACACCGCAACGATAGTCACCCAGACTCCTTCTACAATGCGCTCGAGGTGCTTATTTCGAGCTTCATGCGAAGGTCTACATATGTTGACTGACTCTTGCAAATCCACAACCCACACGTACGACACAGTACACGCCACACACAGATTATACGCAATGTGTACAAAACAATACACAAAGACTGTATGGTATCGATATCTACACATAGATACTACAACAAACACACAACACACGCAAGATCCTATAACATCCACCCATACCCGTCATCACATTGCAACAGCGCGTTGGAGGTGACCAATTCCAGGGCCTTGCGGGTGTCTGAGTCCATGACCATGTGATGGCTGACGGTGTGTCGCGACGGCCACTGTAGGCGTGGCTTATCGCCCGGATGTGTGTGTGCAATGTACCGCAGGAGTGCACTCATGGCCATCAATTCCATATCATTCACATGGCGCCTATCGAGTGCCGCACTGTCCCGAGTGTCGCGCGCGCTCGGGTGTGCGCCAGTCTGGCTGTGTGCGTGTGCGTGTGCGTGTGACTGTGCTTGAGTCGATGTGGTGTCACTGACAGCGCGTGCCCCACTCATTCCCAGCAGCTCCCGTACACTTCCCCCAACTTTTGGTACTTTCTCGCTAGCGTTCTCTTCGCTTTCGATGGGAATGCCCTCCTTAAGGACTGGTGCATCTGCCTTGCCCTCTTCGACCTCAGCCCGGACACCCCGGTGCAGGGCCGCGAAAGCATCAAAAACCGTCGCGCGCGTGTCCGCAAACCAAGTTTTTTCCAGGACTGTATGGCACACGCTCTCCCTGGTTGCCAGTGACGGGTAGTGTCTCCCAATGTACTCGCTCGCCTCCTGTGTCAGCAGCACTTCAGCCACATTGAGTCGACTGAGTACTTCGTCCAAGTGGTCTACGTCGGCACTACTCGACACGTGCAACTCACTGGTCTCCAGGTCAACGTAGCACACACCAAATTTGACCTCCCCGTCCCCATTGATATTAAAGTCACCGCCGTGTCGAGCTGAGCCATAGCTGTTGCTCACTCCCTGGTGTGTGTAGGTAGCATCCCCATTCTCGTGGTTGTGCGGAGACTGTCCACTATCTGAACCAATTACAGCCAAACTCACGAGATGCCTTCCCCCGGCCTCGTTGGTGTCGTACAGAGTGCCGGGTGTGTACACGCGCACCACTTGACGCGGCAGAATCTTGGTTTTCGCGCCGAAACTGCCCTCAATTACCCCTCCAGCCAATCCGTGGGGTGCGCCTGGGGTGTAGGTAACGGCGATAGGAATGTGTGATAGATATAGATAACAGAATGCATATGACGATAACCAATTAGTCGTGCATGCTTGTCTTTGCGGATTAAAGCATCGCGGATGGCCCTTGAGATGCTCTTGAAGTGTGATAAGATGGTGACGCGTTGCTTTCGTTGCTTTCGAAATTTGTGTTCACGAGTTCAGTCTGATGATGAGTGCGAAATTTCAGAAAGAACAATCTTGCGTACAACTGAATACTTATCAATGTGTATGATGACCCATCCACAAAAAGTCTCACAGGGTGCTAGTGTATTATTGGTAAGGCGACAGTCTCTGTATTGTCTAATCATTTGTACCAGTAAAACGAAGTGCACAGACAGGTAGAATACGTTCTGGTCTTTCTAAGTAAATTAGTTGTGTAGAATTTAGACCCCTGTATTCTATATATGATTTACTTATCTGCGATGTGGCGTCCGCATGCATATCAACAACAGATTAGCACAAGCGCACGTACACTACCTTCCATAAACAAAGGGCACAAAGGCTCCTAAAATTATACAATACGTGACCACCACGCAAAATCAAGTACGAATATACAAAAAAAACTCTACTAACAAACACGCACACACACACACGCATACACTCACATCCGGATAAATAAATGTATCAATCCCCACATAATGTACTTACGTTTCTCGCCCTCGACATCTGAACGGTTAGTGGAGTCAGTGGGAGGCTGCACCTGCTCTACCACAGCGATCTTCCCCACACCACACTGCAGCAGTCGCGCAACCCAGTCGTGTACGACGCGCAAGGGGAATCCAGCCATACGCTTAAACCCGGTGGAGTTCTTCTCGGTCACCTTGAGGTTAGTAAGGGTCTCTACCAGGTCTGACAATGAGGGAACGAACAAAAGGGAAATTTGTCTATGGTGTTGCGTCAAGAGAAATTTACCAAACCGACCATAAACCACACACATACACATACATACACTTGTATACCTACATTCCCACACACATATATTTATATATATTTATATATATAAATATACAAATACATATATATA